GTGGGGGATCAGCCCTGGAGGCTTTCAGCAGGACAGGAAGAGGTCTCAGGAAACATACTGCAACATCCTATCCTTAGAGCAACAGATGAGTATCTGGCACCATATAAACATTGTGTTGAAATAGCCAATTGTTAATTATTTCAGGTGTTGTAAATATTGTTTAACCCTTGGTGGAATAGAGCTACTCATGGAAATGGAATGAAATCAGGGTCAGCTGGACTCCAAATACTCAGTGGGGGCCAGGATTTCCACCCTGAGCAGGCAGGGAATGATTCTGCCCTGCACAGGTTTGGGATTCATTAATCTGTTTATTGTGAAGGATTTTTCAGTGCCTGGTTTATGGAGATGTATGGTAGCCTAGAGATTGCTCACAAATTACTTCTTGCAACTGTTGCACTCAAGATTGTCAAATTATTGTTCAGTGCTTTCTAGTTGGTCACCTAAACTGCAAATTACTGTTTTGTGCTTCCCAACTGATTGACTCTGGTAGGTGTTTGCAGGGTGGCTGTGCAAACACTGATGGCAAGTGACTCTCACATTTCTCATCTGTAAAAATATTTACTTGCCTTTTTGCACTGAAATGGACTTTATTCCTCAAATTTTTCTCTGAAGACAATTAAAAGAGGAACAGATAAAAAGCATGCTGAGCTTGTCCATATACACTCAGGAAAACATGGACATGATGCCAGTGGATCCCCCAGCCCTACAGATTCTTGCTTTGACATTGGCTTTGGACTTGTGAGGAATTGTCTCACTGGAGTTTTGTAGCTTTTATTCATAGCTTTTATTGTTAAATCCTGAGTAATGGTGATGAGGTCCTGGGTAAGTGCACCTGGTTAACAGTGAAATGTCAATGGGTGGTTTCCTAGGCAAGAGGCCAGAAACAGGAAACATTTAGGAAGAAACCTTTTCACCTTAAAAAATATATTCTTTCCAGAAAAAAAAACCTTTTAGTGATAAAGTTACTGGTAAATGGCATATAGCAATCTGAAAGCCTCCAATACTTTAGGAAGTTTTACTCATTCATAAACTTCAGGAAACAAAAAACAACAAACTCTCTGACTTACGTACTGTGTAAGCACAGCATTCAGGAGCAGGGGTTTCTACAAATTGCTGTGGTTTGCAGTGTCCCTTGGAGAAAACTATGCAAAAGGAGGATATTTAACTGGGATTTGAATTGATATTAAGTAAGTGTGGGACAATATTTATCAGCAGTTGGAACATATCATGAAAGCTGAGCTGTGTTTATACTCATGTTGTAGGAGTATGTGCTACACAAGTTACAAATGCTTTATGTGTTACACAGTCCTAGAATCTTGTCTGAAATGCATTTATAAATATTTAAATAAACTCCAAAGTAAGAGGAGTTCTCTGAGCTGGGCTGCAATCATGAGCTGCCTGGACTGACATCTATACCCAGTGACAGACCACGTGCTGCAGGCAGTAGAGGATCTTAGCAAAGTATAAAAATAACTCTAGAACCGTGTAAACTGTGAGGCTGCATCCACACACGGGGCACAGTGGCACCTTTCATGTGTGTCTGTGTCTGACTGCTGAGCTCAAGTGACAACACACCTTAATATCCCATGTTTCCTGTACTTTTGAGTGTAATCCCAGGCCCTCAAAGCTGGAGGCTCTTTAGGAAGAATTAAAATTGATAAGGGGAAACATAAGATGTCTTAGATTGAGTGTTCTATGAACTAAGGCAGAATGGCATGCTTTTCTTAACCTTAGTCTTATTTTAATTCTATTTTCTCCTGGTTGACTCTTTTCCTATCATTGTTATTTTCCTCCTGTTGTTTTTTTTATAGATTAGAAAAAAGGCCAGTTGTCTTCAGCTGCCATACCTTGGTTCAGTTGGATGTCACTGTCCTGGCCAGTGCATTTGTGGCTGGCAGAGGTGTGCCAGTCTTACCTGATGTTCAGGGTGACAGGAAGCACCTGAATTTTTTCACAATGACTAAGATTAAGAAAATGCTATTCCTAAGTATTTTTATTTTTTTTTCCTACTTTTAATTTGGGAGTTATCTGCAAGCTGTTTTGTGGGACCCAAGAGAGAAAGACAAGGGGAAAAACACCCTCTATTTTTGCATTTCATTTGCTCTTTCTGAAGCTTGGCCTGACTTTATAAAATCTACTGTTTTTGGTATTCCCTTGAGCATAACCAGAAACTAATGAAATACAGCAAAAGACTAGAAACAAATCAGTAGGGTCATGCTTTTGCCCTCCATCTTCCTATCTTCCTTTTCAGAGGTGGCTGCAATCATTCTTGGATGGCTAGTCAAGAATCTTTATGAACTGTTTCTAGTGTTCAAAAGTTTTTCATTTCTTGAAAAGGCCTATGTGGCATACAAATACCCCTTTCCCCTTCCCTCAGGCAGTATTCAATATGCTTAAAGTTCTTGCCTGCCTGAGTGCCCAAATCACTATTGCTGGAGTAGCTGGGAGCATCAGTCATCCTAGAAGAGAGCCTGGAGGGGAAAGAGGGAGCCTCATCCACCTTTTCCTCTTTGGTTGCAGTTCATCTCTGTGTGCCAGCAGCTCCCCCTATTTAGCTCCCAGCAGATCTGAAATACACTTGGTCCTCTTGGATCCCAGGGAACATAAATGAACACAAGCAATCTCCCAGTGGAGAGCTGTGTCTTCCCAGCCCCTTGTACAAATCATTGCTTGGTAGGCCACAGAAATGATTTGCTTTGCTAATGCCTTATTCCACTGAGGTGTAGTGACTGTGTGTGAAGAGGCTCAGTAAGGTGATCCTTTGAAGAGCACCTGCTCTCTGCTCAGCTGTTATGTATCTGGAACCTGCTGTGATGTTTCTAGGAGGGTTTCAAGAAGCACAAGGAAAAGGTAATTTCTTTGGAGATCTCTAAAGGCAGTGCAGCTCTTCAGTTGGGCTGTGCTGCCTTGCTGGAGGGTGAGTGATTAGAAAGTACAATTATTTGCTTCTACTGACCCAGCTGTATAAGATCTGGGTGCTGAGGTTTGTTGTGAAAACAGCTGTACTTCCAGGAACTGGCTTATTTCACTCCATATCCTGAGATTTGCTTTTCCAAGCCATTGGCTCAAAAAGCCCATAGAACTGTGCATGTATAGAAAAAAGGAGCCTGTTAACTATTTTGGAAAACATGAAGCTGTGAGTCAGGATTTGCTGGGACCTTCTCATCTCGAGTGTGGTCGTGCTCCTCTGCTGCTGAGTTCAGACAAGCAGGCTGAAGCTGTTGTAGTCCCAGGGAGCTGGGAGCTGTCGTGTCATACAGGCTGAGGCAGTTTCTATGTGCAGCAGTTTTTGAAATAGCCAGGTGGGTTTTTTTGTTTGAGGGTTTCTATTGCAGTCAAATAACCTTCTGTTTGAAAGGGAGAGTAAAGGATGATAAATTGGTAGAGATAGCAGCTGAAAGAAATTACTTCATGGAAAAAGAACTTTCTGTTCCTATTTAAATATAGTCGATGAAGTTCTGTTATTTTCTTAAAATAATTAACTCTAATGAGCATTTAGTTTTGAAGAGAAATAAATAAATGACCAAACTTTCAGGCACATTAATATTTGATTTGGAGATAACTGCATAAATATTGAATTTGAAGATTACATTCCAGAGCACTGCATTAAAATTGCAAGACTTCTCTATTATCCTTCATAATGGAACATGAAATTAGAAACTTGTTCATGGAAAGAAAAATTTCTCAACTCTCATTTAGGCGTTTTCAGCACTGTTGTGTTAACAGAGGAGCTCTTCTCATACTGTGAAAAGAGACATAGCTATCAGTAGGACATAGACCCTGAAGTCATTTATGGTCTTTTTGAAAATTAATATGCACCATTTCATAATTGCATCTCAGTTCTTTGATTGGTATAGAACAGAACTTGAACCAGGGATTGGCCTACGGGGTTAATGCTCATGTTTGCAGATGCAGGACTCCAGAAAGCTCTGGTGTTTATTGTTCCTTAACTTTTATTCTTTTCCCTTTCCTTCAGTAGCATGGGTTTGAGGACCACTGAAATATCACTTGACTTGCTAATCCTGAGCCATCCTGGCACAGCTGTGTGTGGTTCAGAACAGGGAGGCTGTGCCCCTCTCAGCTGCTGTTACCCTGCAGGTCCTGCTCCCAGAGAGGGCTGGGGCTGTGGGTTGCTGTAGTGTGAAGAGCATTTGTTACTGCTCAGAACATGAGGGATGTGTCCAGTGCTCACATCCAAGGGGGTGGATGTGCTCAGTGCCCCTCAGTGCTAATTCACGGCTCCCTGCTTCTCCTCCAGGGAAATCATTCCCAAATGGAGTAACAGAAACCTGGATCAGACCATCTCAAAATATGAGTGAGCATCCAGTCCAAAGTGTTTTCAAACACAGATTGATTTCCCAGCTTTTCTTCTCTTCTATTGGTCTCAGATAATTCATTTCCATAACTTTGCAGTTCTGTGGTTGCTCCTTTTATTCATGGTTCAGCAATAACAAAACATTGTTCCCCAGAGACTTGAAAATGGAGCAAATTTGCTCAATCTACAGCAAAGACCAATACAATGGTATTTCTTCCTAATTGGTGATATCCCTATAGAAAAATTAATGAAATGATAGCATAGGAGAAAATTGGGCATTTTACCTTTATGTACATTTCCCGTTTTTTAAAAACTGAATTTATTTAGAGAGAGAAGACTATGTTCAGTTCCTGTTCATGTTGCAGTTCTTCTGCAGTGGTTTATTCAGAGTTAATTAAAATTATGGACTTCCCTGCCCTAGAGCTCTGTCACCTGCATAGCCTTAGGACAGCACAAGGTGTAAATGATGTTTAAAAGCAATCTGTTGACCTTTGTCTCTGTAACTGAACATATAACTGATCAATTATTTATTAAATCTCTCTACATTATTTATGAGTAGAACAGAAATATAAACAAGTGACCTTTTGATCCTTTTTTGTTTGAGAAAGTAGCTTTTTATTTCTAAAGCTCCTGATGATAACAAAATACAAATTAACTTTTAATGTCTCCTCTTGCATTGCCTCAGATTTATCAGGAAACAAGGGCTGGATCGGCTCTTCCTGGAGTGCGACACGCACATGTGGCGCCTGGGGGACCGCAAGATCCCAGAGGGAATCACAGTCGATGGAGGGTCAGACTGGTTCCTCCTGAACAGGAAGTTTGTGGAATATGTCACTTTTTCCAACGATGATCTGGTGACAAAGATGAAGAGGTTTTACTCTTACACACTGCTTCCTGCCGAGGTATGTGAATGCAGAGAATCCCTCTCTGTGTTCAAACCTGCGATGTTCGTGCCAAAGATCTGAGCAGAGGGGCTTTCACCTGATGTCACTGGGCTTTGCAGCACCCCACAGTGGGTAATGAAAATTTTACTTCTGTGATGAGTAAGCCCTTTAGGGTTAGAACATCTTTCGCATTGTTTATTGCTTTGTTTGTTTGTGGGACTTTTTTTGCAGAGTGGCTTTGTTTTGTACCTCTAAGCCTATTAATCTGTAACTGAACAACCAAAAATCCAGCTGCCCTTTGCTTGCAAATTGTTCCTGCACAAAGCTTTTGAAGGATATTAGAGATGGCGAATTGTCTTCATAAGTAGCTTTCCTTGCTATTATCCAGTGCTTTTCTTTAAAAATATAAACCCTGCAAACAAAGGTTTATTGTTCTGTTCAAAACTCAGCTAGAAGGCACAGTCACAAATCATTTTGATCACTCAGGAGTTGCTCTGGCTGCAAGTGATGCAGAAGGGGAGTGCACAGCAGTGTGGGGCTGTGCCTGGCGTGCAGCAGTGTGTCAGGAATGTGTGCTGTCTGCAGGGAGAGCACAGAGCCGTGGCTGGCAGCCTGTGCTACACCTGCCCCAGCAGGTACACTGCTCCCCTGATTGCCAGCCTCTGCTCCACAGGCTGCAGCAGTCAGCCAGCCAAGGAAGAGCTGATAACTGCCTTTAAACCCATAACTGCCCTGGCTCCTGAACATTTTGAGGGATGGGTGACACCAATCTTGCAAATCTAGGCTCATTAGCTTGTGGTGGAGCACAGCAATTGTTATCTTTTGACAGAGGTTTATTATTCCACATACATGTTGCATAATCTTCTTTTAATCCCTTTTCTGTTAAAAATCACCTTTTCTCTCTACTCTGATAACCTTTTCATCCATTATCTATAGAAATTCCTGTATTGCTATAAAAGGACATAGGGCAATGGGTAATTGGGTAGGGTTTTTTTCCCCCCTCTCGCTTGAATGAGAATGGATGCCTTTATGGGTTTAACCAAACAGTTCAAGCATAAAATCCATATTCACTGGGCTGTCATTTAACATTAAAAAGGGTAGGGGGATTATTTGGGGGCCAGCCATGCTAATGCTATGCTGGTTATTTATAGATCTTACTATTGCTGATTTTAAAGAGAAGTCACTGCTCAAAAAATGGTCTCTTGCAGGGCTAAAATTGATGATATTCCATAGCTTTTTTTCTACAGTGTTTTCTTTACATGATACATAACTGGTTTTGTAAAATGCCTCTGCCTTTGCTAATCTGTTAACCTGCTATATCAGTCCCCATTACACATGGTTTATGTAATAGCTGATATTATGATGATATAATTAAGATTGTCCAATAGGAATTCCATGCTACCATGAATCAGCAAATAAAGACTTATGATTTCAGACATAAATGCAGGAGGCAGAATGTCCTTTTGGTGCTGAGGGTGAGCTGTATGTTTCAGAACAAAGCCATTCAGCTAGCAATGCATTTCAAAATGCTGGAGATAGATACCCACAGAAGAGCTGTCTGAGACTGTATTTTTATCAGAGTAACCAGGGTGATGGTGTAGTTTTGCCAATTGTTTTGGGAAAGAACTTGAAATATGCCATTAGCACATTGTTCAGAAAAATAGTCCTAAATCTGTTAGATCAGGGAGTAACTTACAGAAGGGAAATAATGGGCATTTCTTAGAATTGCTCATATAGCTGAAATAAAAATAAAATGATTGCTGGCACTGGTGCCTTTCTAGGAGTCCTTTGGGCTCCCAGTGCCCAAAGCTGGTCATTGTAGAAGTGCAATTATTCTGTGCCAGGTTATTGGAGCAGGACCTCTGCTGTGTGTTCTTACAGTTTGGTTGGGTTGTAGAGTGTTGTGATTTTTCCATGCTCTGTGGAATAAAGACACATAGTGTTTCATACATGGCAGAACAATAGAGCTTGTTAATTCTGTCATTCCAAACGAAAATAGGTCACCTGCATTCGGTTTGCACCCATGAGCTGAAGCAAAGGAGGAAATGAAAGTTTGAGGAGCTAAATACGGTGATCTGCTCTGTGTTTGTTGCAGTCCTTCTTTCACACCGTGCTGGAGAACAGCCCGTTCTGTGACTCCATGGTGGACAACAACCTGCGCATCACCAACTGGAACAGGAAGCTGGGCTGCAAGTGTCAGTACAAGCACATTGTTGACTGGTGTGGCTGCTCACCCAATGACTTCAAACCAGCAGACTTCCACAGGTTCCAGGTAACTGAGCACACCTGCAGAGAGACTCTTCCCCCTGTGCTGTGTGGGGAGAGCTGGCTGAATGCATGGCTGCAGCTGGGAGGGGGAAGGAAAGCTTTGACTCCATCAGGCAGGTGGAGAAAGAGATGTGAGGAAGCTCTGATCTTAACTTTAGGAGAATGAAAGATAAGTTCTCCTATGTTTTGGCCCTGGAGACATACCACTGCATGGTATGCCTCCATAAAGCACATAAGTCACAAAAAGCATAAAGTCACAAAGTAACTCTCTGGACTCTTGGTGTTGGTAATCTGCTGTGCTAGGAAGGAGGGAAGCTTGACGCATCTCTGACTGTACCACTATTACATGACAACTCTTGTGAGTTTATTGTAAAAGGTTTTTTCCCACGTTCCAGCTCAGGTGCTTTCATCATTTCACAAAACTCCTGGCTTTCAGTGTTAAGCAATGTTTATCATCTTTAAAAAAAGCTTAGAAGTTGACTGGTGTGTGTGCTAGAGACTTACATTGCACAAAGCAAATCTAGTTTCGTTATTAGATTCATCAGCACGATCATATTAAAGTTTATCTCGTGGTTTTGGTAGCCTTAGTCATGAGGTTTTGATCACCCAGGTTTGGCAGGACTGTTTTAAAAGGTTTAATGAGTTTCTTTGTGAAAGTTTCCTCAAGGCAGGCACGAGAGTGAGTCCTGTGCTCGGGGTGCACTCAGTCTCGAGGCTGTATCCGGCCTGTGTATCTTCCATGGAGAATGAACAGCCGCTTGTTTCAAGGTCACCAGATTTGCAATTCCATCCCTCCAGCTCCTCAGGGCTCCCTGCATAAAGCATGTTTGTTCAGGCTTTGTGTGGGATGGGGAATGTGTTACCCTACAGCACAGAAATGATGACTGCTCTGAAACAGAGATCTTTTCTTTGCTGTAATGTGCTGCCTACCAGGCACGCTTGAAGTCAGTGACACAGGCATTCACAAAAAGAGCAAATGAGATGTTATCTAAAAGAGGCTCTGCTGCCCCAAACACCAAACCCAGGGAATTCTCCAGCACAGAATAAATGGCAAGTCTTCAAAAACTCCTGCCAGACTGCAGAGCCTGACCTACTCCAGGCTGTGAACCCACAACAATATTGCAGAAAACAATCAGGTAAACTGAGCTGGAGAGGAAAGTTCAAAATTAAAACAGATGTAAAGGCAGCTTCTGGCACTGCTGAGAGCCCCTCACATGAGCAAAGGGCTCCAGAAAGCTGGGGCTTGCTGTTTCCATGGAGGCACAAAGTGAGCCAAGATCACAAAGCCCACAGCATGCGCCATCTCAGAGCAAAACTGAGCATCCTCAAAAGAATTTTCCAACCATCTGGGGCACTCAAACTCCTTGGCACCTCAGGACCCATCAAATATGAACAAGGCAAAACAAAGACTTTCTGAAAGCTATTGAGTATTTGAGTAGCATATAAAGCAGTTATATGCCCAAGATTGTGTCAAGCACTGAGAAAAAATCTGGGAAGGACCACTCAGAAGTGGAGATACCTCAGCCACAAACGGCACCTCTCCCAGAGACCTCTTGCCACCTCCTAGCAGCAAATCCATACACAGAAAATGCTGCTCTGCCTCTTCTGAGCCCTAGTGCCACAGTACACTTTGCTCCCTGCATAACATGTGCCAGTGCTGCACTGTCTCCAGGCTAACATGGGGGTTTGGAGAGCATTCCCCAGCCCTCCTGCACTTGGAGAGCCCTCCTGAGCAAGGCAGCAGGGGTGGCTGTTGGTCTGAAGGGATTTGCATTGAGTAATTATGTAGTTTTTAGCCGAATCTTAACATCACTCCTAACAATGAATGGTGCCAAAGGTGACCTTTTAAGTCATCTTTGCCCATGGAGAGAAATGCTTCATGTCCTCAGCTCCAGCCCATTGCTTAAGACCAAGTGTCACGTCTGAAAACGGGAACTCAATGTCTTTTCCTGTCCTATCCCAACAGCAGACTGCCAGGCCAACTTTCTTTGCGCGCAAGTTTGAAGCCGTGGTGAATCAGGAGATCATTGGCCAGCTGGACTATTACCTGTACGGGAATTACCCGTCGGGCACGCCGGGGCTGCGCTCCTACTGGGAGAACGTGTACGAGGAGCCGGACGGGCTGAGCGCCCTCAGCGACGTGGCCCTCACCATGTTCCACTCCTTCTCGCGCCTGGGCCTGCGCAGGGCCGAGACCTCGTTCCACGCTGCTGGGGACAACAGCTGCCGGTCAGTCCTGCCCTTCCTCGCCCTCGCAGGGGACACGGGCACCGCCAGCCTCTGCGGGAGCCTCGCTCTGCCTGGCTGTGCTGCCTGGAGCCTACGGCCACGAGCGGGGCCAGGCAGCTGCAAGTGCACAGCGCTTATTTCCAGGAGTATTTATGTCCATAATAAAGTGCTGGTTATTCCGGGTTGACGTTATGTGACCTGTTTGCTGCACTTTTAAGGAGCTCCTCTCTAGCCTGATGAAGACTGACAGGATCCAGTTGGGCAGTGCTACCCCCACTGCTGCGTTTCCCTTGATTAATTTCAGCAAGTGTATTATAGCCTCAGCTCCAAAACCCTCCGTGTGATTGCAGCAGAGGTCATGTTCACCTCTATTATGCTTACCAAAAGCAGAGGACAGGATTTCAGAACAAATCTGAACACAGGCAGGTTAATGGTCCTTGCTTGTTTGTTCCCCTGGGAGCACACATGGAGTACAGAGAGCTTGCCTGGCTCAGTTTGCCTGCTTGGTGCAGCTCTCTGTGCCAGAAGTGCTGCAACTGGAAAGATCTATTAGCATCCAATACATAAAATATATGTAGGTGTTTATATTTCTCTATATATAGCTAGATATATTTATCTCAAAAGTTCTTATTCTTTAAAAGGAAATTCTCCCTATATTCTAGATTCCTTTTTTACCTATAAGCCTGGCTAAGGAGAATTCAGTCTTACAAGGGATTTGAAGGAAGAATTAGAAAGTTAGACTTGCACAGAAGAGGCTCTCTTCATGGTATATGTTTGCTGGCTGAAAACACATCTGAAGCTGTTTAGATTCAAAGCAGAGAAGGTTCTTCTAAAGTCTTACTTTACCATCCCTTACTTCTGTCTTCAGAATGTATTTCTGCCCTTTTTTATCCTAATAGAAAACACATAGAGCCTAAGCCAGTGAACACTCCATGTGCTTTGATGGATGGACGTTGCCCCTCTCGTGTTCTCAAGAGGGAACCAAATGTGCCTTGACCTTCCTAAATTAGTCATGGAAGTGCTGAGCAATGTCCCATTTAGAAAGATGTGGCAATAAGTGCTCCAGATTCCTATTAGAGTTTTGTCAGTGAAGGTTACCAGTGCAAAGCAATAAAAGATCAATAACAATTAGACAGAAATAATCTCTAGTAGCATGCCTTCCTTATATGAAATAAAGGCAGACCTAAGGAAGTCCTGGGTCATTTGTCCTGCAGGGTGAAACCAGCAAAGGGGATGGAGACTATGTATAACCAGTACTGAAATAATTTGACAATTACTTTAGTTCTCTCTCCTTTTGCCAGTGTTCTGATGCTGATTGATATCAATTATCACTTGTGTTTCTGAGGAACTTTCCATTGCACAGGAGCTCAAGGTGCTTTTCAAGCTTGCTCAGATTATAGATAGGGACACCGTGACTGCAGCTGTCTCCAGGATAAAGCACAGCTCCTTTACAGGAGGCTGGAGCCTCATGAAACAGTGCAGGGAGGGGAATTGCAAACAGTGATATGGAGTGGAGGCTTCGTTTTCATACCTACCTGAGCCCCCTCAAGACACTGTGAGTCAGCATCCAGTTCAGATCAGAGAAAGCTGCATAATCCTCAGGTTTATGATTCACATCTCTTTCAATACTACCCTGTCCTTCTGGGTGTTTGCACCTATACCTGTCCTCCTTCCCTCTTGTGGATTCACATGTCTAATGCAGTAGTGGAGGGATGGATTTGGGCTGAGCAGCTCGACAGTGTTCCCTTTGCTGTGGGGCTGAGCAGAGCCCCAGGCTGGCTGATCCTGCACAGCACCAAGCTCCTGCTGCGGGAGAGCAGCTCCCACCTCGGATCCCCCTTGGAGTCAGGCCCATGCTGCCACCCACAGCGGCCCAGGGGATGTTTGTAAGAGCAGCTGCCTCACACACTTCCCTAACAAGAGCCAGCCCACAGCCTCAGACAGTCTGTCCCCCCCAGACTGCTCGGCTACCAAAGGAGATTGAGTGTCAGCATCTTCTGTGGGAGCAGCATTAATGTGTGACTGAGATTTAATTCATTTCTTCCATCTCTAGGCATTTTCACTCTCTGCTGCCAAGAGGCAATTTACCCAGACTATTTCAAGAATATTGTAAATATTTGCTGCTGCACACATATAAAACAGGAGGTCTTAGTACTCAGAACAGAAGTCAGATTGTTGGTGGCATTGGCTGTGTAGCTTTGCAGTGTTTTTGCTCGGTCCATCAGTGCTGGCCCTGTTGGTCCCTGTCTCTTTATGTTGATTTCTCCAGCTCTAGAGAGTTCCTTCTGGGTGTTGCTGACCTCGTGCAATGGAAAGTCTTCCTTGGTGCTCATCCTTAGTGCTCATCCTTTAATTGTGGTAACAAGCCTGAGGAGTCAGGCTTAGCTGACTTACTGGGAAGGTGTGATGCTGGTTGGTTTAACTTGTTTTGCAGTTAAAGCCAGTGCTGTAAAGTAGCAAAATATTTGATTTCTGAGCTATGAATAACGCATTTTTAATTATTTATGCACCCATATGTACCCAAATATCTTTACAGATGTTTCTGAGGCCATAGCAGACAATTAACCATACATTTTAATTATTTGAAGCTGTGACTGCAATGTCTTTAAATCTCAACTGCAACTGAAGGCTTCCAGATCTTTCAATGTCTGGTTTTGCCCAGTTGTTTGATCCTTTTTCAAGGTGGTGCTTTTTTTTATTATTATTATTATGAGTCAAAAAATCACAGCAAAAGCAATCTCAAGTCTTTAAAGAACATGAAGTTTTTTTTCCTAAAATAAGGAGATCTAAAATGGGGACAGGATCCTTTGCTGCAGTAGCACCCTGCAGAGCCCTTGGGGAAGGGGTTTGGGGATGGAGGGGGCCCAGGGGTCAGTGCCTGGTCACACAGCAGTCCCTGCTGTCCTGTGCAGACAGGCACTCGCCCTGCTGGGGCAGGAAAGTCAGCTCTGGAGCACTGGCACCATCCTGGGACATCCTTTATCCCACAGTTTATCCAAACAAACCGTGCTGCACCCCGGCAGCCTGCGTGTGTCTCTGGGTGCCACTTTGTACCAGGAGAGGTGTGAGGGAGAGGAGCTCTCTGGCACACAGAGGGGCCTCCTGAAGAGCTGTGGATATGGAATTCATGAGCCTGTATTCTTAGTAACATATTTTTATGTTTTGGGGTAATCAGAACAGCCTCATTTGATAACGAGTCATGAACACATTTGAAATCTCTTAATGTACAGTGTTGCATTTTCTAGTTTAAATGAATGCTTCTTAAGCCACTAGCTCCAAGTAAATGGAGATTTCATGTCTCTCTTGTATAACTGATGAGCATGTGCTGTTTTGCAGATACTACCCCATGGGCCATCCAGTTTCCATCCACCTTTACTTCCTTGCTGACCGTTTCCAAGGCTTCCTGATCAGGCACCACGCAACCAACCTGGCTGTCAGCAAACTGGAAACCTTGGAAACGTGGGTGATGCCCAAGAAAGTCTTCAAGATCGCAAGTCCACCGAGTGATTTTGGGAGGTTGCAGTTCTCAGAGGTGAGTGTTCATAGCCACTCATGCACACCTCTGGCACCACAACAGTGAACACTAAACCAGCAGCCTTTGGAAACTGTATTTCCATGCAAATTTGAGGTGAGAGTGGCTTTCTAGAATAGTGCACATCCTCATCATAGAAGGAGATACCATTGGCAGTTCAGATCTGTGGTCAACGCTCATTTCTTACATTAATCTGAGTGTCCTCACTCCCTTCTGCTTTAAAAACAAATGGAAGGCTTTTATTGTTGTGAAAGGGGCTCAATAATTTAAAAGTACCTTAGAAGTTTTGCCACTGTACTTGTTGTGAATGCTGTGAAAGGCTCCTGGGGAAAATGCCATTTCTCTGTGATTCCAGATGTAAATGGTGACATGTTTAAATGTGTCTCTCAAGAGTACACTGAAAAAACCTCATAAAATTAGTGGTAGGCAGGTACTGATAGCACATGTGAGCAGAATATTGATGTTGTAACACAAGAGAGAAAATTATCACAGCACTGGCTGAGATTTCCCACAAATCCTGTTATTTTTCTAGAAATTTGTCCCAGTGTCTGTCACAGAGTATAAAAAATCTGCCTAAAATATGTCAGGAAAGTTGACCACTAATAGGACCTGACATCTGTGTTTTGTTTTAAAGATACAACTGTCTAAGCAGTTAATTTCATGATTTTTCTTGTTAAGCCGCAAATTTCAATTAAGGTACAAAATTGATTGAAGAAATGTGTCCCAGTCATTATGGCTAAGTCCATAAATTACCATCTTCTTGGGCAATTAAGAAATGCCTAGGTGGGATTCAGTGTTTTGGTGTGCATGGCAAATCCATGACACTAATGTGCCATTAAAGAGATGGATGGAAAGTGTGTTTCATTTGTCAATGTGTCGGATGGTAGGCCTGCCATTTCATGCAGTGATAAATGTTCATACAAGCTCCAGTTCTTGTGATTTGTAGGAGTATTTCTGCTGCTTATTTAGTACTTTTAAGAATTTAATCACTGGTGAGATTTTTTGAGCATAAAGAAATATTTTCTTCTATTTGAAACTCAACAAAAATAGTTTTGGTGGCTGCTTACTTGTTTTCATTATATTTTCCTCACCTAACCTCTTTAATTGTCCTCACCTTTCATAGATGATTCATATTTTATAAGACCAGGAGGTACAAAGTAAATAATTTAAATTTTTATTTTTATATTTATTTATTTATTATATTTATTTTTAATTTTTTTAAATTTTTATTTTGTTTTTACTTTCTGCCTTCCCTTGGCTTTCAGGGATCTCTGAGCCAAATAATTCTCCCAGTCACCCTGCTATAAATCTAGCATTAACTTCTTCAGCTTCAGTGTGGCTGGAAAGCTCTGATCTGCTACTGCTTATTAAAATGCCACTGCTTTGTCAGGGTCCAGCACGTGGAAAACCAACTTAGCAGTTCAGCTGAGATGGAAGCATCGGTGTTCACAGAAAATAAAATAAGGATTTATGCTTATTGGGACATAGAGCTGCTTGTTCTTCAACAACTTTCACCCCGTGATCTGGTGGGAATTTAAAGCTGAATGGGGCTATTTTAGCTGGGAGCTTTCTCCTCTCTCCCAGCTCGCAGCACTGGGGCCAGCAGGAAGAGCACACAAATACGCTGCACTGAATGTGCTCCCGAGTGTATTTGTGACCCTGATGCACAAGTGAGATTGCAGCAGAGATGATGGGAGCTCTCCAGCCCCTGCCCTCTGCTCCTCTCAGACTTCTGTTCCTGAGGAGCAGATTTCACCCCACAGCCTGGACAGAGCAGTGGGAAGCCATCGGCCAGTGGGCTGCCCCACAGCTGGGGGAGTTAATGACAGTGCTAATGGCACACGGCTCCTGCAGGCTGTGTCAAACAAAATAAACTTACAGGAAATCCAAGAGAGATGATTTCCAAGCATGGAACTCCCACACTTCCTCTAACTGGCTCATGCACAGTGCACACACCATGTGTCCTGCCAGCCTGGGTCCAGGCAACGTCTCCGTGGAGGGCAGGGGATTGATTTGCTGCACAGAAGTGAAATTCTCAGCTCACCGTCTATCAGCTGAATGCTAAGTTTCTGGTCTTGTTAAGACTCGTGATTCATCACAGAGAATAAAATAAACTAGGTGGCAGGCAATTAGTGTGCATTGTGTGAACCTAATGGTCCTGTTTGTGGTGAGCAATGAGACACGAACCCATAATCAGGGAATAATTTATCTTGGGAAAATTTTATCTTGGGTTCAAACAGAGATAGAAACAGAAGTTTTGAGCCAATGAGAGATTTCCAGCTTTCCAAGCATATCCTGTGCACAGTGCTTGCTCTTGAAGCCCAAAATAAAGGTGATTAAAATAATGATGTGGAAAATGTCAGTTTTTGTGCCGCATCCTTTCATAATTTATCAAATATTCATTACTGCTTGATTCCATCCCATATTTGGTGTGTTCTGTTTGAAAGTGAAAGCCTACTCACAGTGTTTTAAGGAGCTGTGAAACTTATTATAGGGCTGTAGTATCTCTTGCCCTGTAAAGTCAGACATCTCAGTACTGGGAACTCAGCTCTGTAAAGTTCAAGGGTTATAAACCTCTAACCAGTGCTTTAAGTAAAATTCCCTATAAAATACTGTCCTTCTAAAAGCAGCTGGTACTGCAATCTGTGCAGCATGGGAAAGTATGTCCCCAGCTGGAAACCAGACATGAAGGGCAGATCCCATAACAGAGTGTACAGCTCCCTGCCTTTCCCTCCCCAGGGTGCCTGTGGAGCCTTGGTGTGAGCCCTGGCCCTGGGGCACACAGGGATCCAGGGGTACCTGTCCTTCCCTCCCCTCTTCCCCTGCCCCTTGGCTTAACTTTTCATTTGCTTTAGGGAACCCAAAGCCACGCCTGCACAAAGCTTAACAACCAGACAATTGTGTTACAGTTTTCCCCCAAAAGCAGCCTTAGCTCTTCCACAGAGCAGTCTGATAAACCTTTGTGCATGTGAACACATCTCACCATCTCCTGTGCAGCCTGGCATGGAGCAGTGTCACCTGGAGGCTGGAGCGAGGGGACTGTAACTTTCTGATTTGTTTTCTCAGGGATGAGAAATGAAAGAGAGGGGAAATAGTCAGGAGTGAATGCTTAATTTTTGAGGATGAAGTAAGTTTTCTGCAAGGAGTTCTTCAGTAAGAAATACTGAATGTGGTGGAAAGAGCTTTCTTACAGACTTTTCTTTGCCCAGGAGGGTGTAGTTTTGTTTCACATGTTGTGACTTTATTATTTCCAGGTCCCTTGAGCACCTGTAGGTGTGATATGGCCGCACCTCAGTGAAGGTTGGCGGAGTAGATAATAAGGTCTGGTCAGGAAATTTTCTTTCTCAGCTTATTTCCATACATATTCAGTCAGTCTTGTCAGGAGAGCACACACTGACAGCTCCTCGAGGCGTTCGATGCTTGGGTCTGATATCTGGGCTATGCTGTCTGGTTTGATTAGCTGGTGTGCTGGGTGAAATACATCTGAAATACCAGAAATGCTGTGCTGATTGCAGAGTAGTGGAAGGCTCATTTTGTCTCATACTCTGCAGTGTCATAGCTCAGTAGGAGGAATTTGTGTGATGACAGATGGATTTAGGATGGTAGGGTTTTATTTTACTGACCTCATAGCTTTTTGCTTACAGTCCTCCTGTAATTTGTCTGCCAACCACAGGGATTTATTTACAAGGGACTGGAGACTGGACAGTTTCCAGTACAGGTAATAGGCATCAGGTAATCATTATGTTTTGGGGATTTGGGGAGATTTAGGCATTATATTGGAATCACTTATTCTCATGAAGTGAAATGAAATCTATAAGAAAAATCTCTGAAGTAAATGAGTTTCAACTATTTCTTACGCTTTCAGGAAAGCAGGTTCTCACCATGTCCTTGTGAGGTGAAGCTTAGGGAAAAGGACAGCTCAGTGTGGGGAAAATCTGCAACATCCACATATATTTTGAAGGTGGGAATCCTGCCTGTGTGTCTTTGGGTTTCCAGAGGTCACCCACATAGGCTTTCTGTACAGGGAAGAAATCAACTCTTTGGTCATCTGCACTGTTTGGAGATTAGGGCAAAACAGGACCAGAAGGACTTTGAAATGTTTCATACCAGAGCTGCCTTCAAAAGCAGAAGTGCTGCCCTCAGTCCTGCAGTCACAGGAGAATTGATGCAAAGGTTTGATAGTGCTCAGCCTCATAAACACATGCTGGCTTTCGTGCTGGGATCCTGAAGTGTCCCCATTGACCTAAGAAAGTTTTTCCATTTCCGTGCTGTCTGGTCAGAGATGCTGTTTTCAGTAGTGCACAAGTGTTAGTGGCAACAGCTTGGAAGTTCGTGTCATCCTCCAGGTTATGGGTGAACCACTGAAATTCATATAAAGAGCACTGAAACTTAAAAGCTGCTAGGAAAGAGAAAGGTCAATTAAATATTTACACTAGATTGTGAATCAGCTGGTTTACTGTTTGTGAATAAATTAAAAACAATGTCATTGTTATGACGATAAGAGTTTACAAGAAATAAATTCCCCCATGAGAAGGGAGTGCAAGGAGACAACATCTCATGGGTGGACTGTAATAAAGAACCTGATGTGACTTGTCCTAAAGTCAGCAGTCCAAGTGTCTTTCCTGGTCTTAGCAGCAGCTGGGCAGGTCTCCAGGGCAGGGTCCATCTCTCAAGTGTGCAATACATTTTCATTACCCAGGAGATGATGGGTGATTTTTTTTTTCTGTGCATAGGCTGTCTCCAGCCATTAGGCTGGGTCTCTTTTTGACTGCTTCTGTGGAGGGAAGAGAGAGCTGACCTGTTGTGTCACTCCTAAGATAAAGAAAACCTTTTTTATCAATCAAAAAGGGAGCAAAAAAGCAAGCCTTGCTTGCCTCCCAATTCGTGTATGCATTATGATCTAAGGTCATGTTGCTCTTATGTGTATGTATAATTCATGTGAATAGAGAAATATGATTTGTGTCTCTTGAGAGCCCTTATTTGCCATGAGGGTCTGAGGTGCCCACAGAGATGATGCTACCAGCACTGTGCTCTTTCATTTCAGATTGGCACTGAGTGGGACGCCAAGGAAAGGCTTTTCCGGAATTTTGGAGGACTCCTTGGGCCAACAGATGAGCCAGTTGGGATGCAGAAATGGGGGAAAGGCCCCAATGTCACCGTGACTGTCATTTGGGTGGATCCCATTAATGTAATTGCAGCAACATACGATATTCTGATTGAATCCAGTGCCGAGTTTACTCACTACAAACCACCTCTGAATCTGCCCCTGCGACCTGGTGTCTGGACAATAAAAATTCTGCACCACTGGGTACAGGTAGCTGAAACCAAATTCCTCGTTACTCCTCTCACCTTCTCAAATCAGCAGCCTATCAAACAAGGTAAGTTTTATTATTTGCTACAGGAATAATGTAGTTATATTGTCTGTATTCACTCTAAATGCTGCTGTTAAAAATGAAGTAGCACTGTATTGGAAAAGGATTAAAGAAAGGGATTTTATAGATACTAAGTCAGAAGAAAATTTTGCACTAAGACAAATGGAAGTGTCTGTATCCACTCAGTAAAACACAGCCACTTTGAACAAAAGACTGTTTGTATCTTTAAATTATGCACAGTTCAGAATCCAAGAGAACTTCAGACTCAGTAATCTAACTGCTATTGTAAAAGCCATCATTTAGAAATTGAAAGAAAAATTGACCTTTCTGTGCTGCTTTTCATTCATGTTTCCTCTTAGAGACTTACATGTGTTTAAACTGTTTTCTTGACAAAGCCTGTGTGTTGAACAATAAAAGCATTAATATACAAAATGCTGGATTAGACAAAATTACCCTAGGCCAGAGCTCACCTCACATATTGTCAGGTCCAGGCATTCGCTTCTGCCTGATACCTGCCAAAACCTGCTCAGTACTTGCCAAGCAGCTGTGTTACAGAAATATCTGCAAATACAGTCCTGGGACCAGACCCACACTGACAGTTTTTAGAAGGAAACTCTTTTCTTGCTTGCCCACAGCAGCCCTGAGCCATCCAGACACAGAGGCCATTCTGGGGCTGCCAGGCTCTGCAGGCTCCCATGTTTGCATGGCACAGGCATCATCCAAGTGCTTGGGTCTGCAGACAAGTGTGCTGGGAGAAGAGGGAACATTTTACAGCCACACCTGGTTTTTTATTCAGTAAGATCAAAACAAGCTTGTTGCTCTGAATATCTTTACCATTCTTCTTAAAGTGCTCAAGTACTTCCATCTGCCCAGTATTAATATTCATAACTTTAGACATCTTAAATTTCCTAGATACATGAATGATCCTATTAAGTTTTCAGAAGTTCTTCTTCCTGACAAGGCAGCAAATAAACTGAGTCAGGCATTTACCTTCCAGCATAACGTGCTGCTTCTGTAATGCAAACAGCAGCAGACAACTGCTGAGAGCTAATGCAGCCCTTATCTCACTCAACAGGAGTTTGATTCCACACATTTCCAGCACAAGAGTGAACTTACTGATTTCTGCTGCTAACATTTGGTGGCATCGTTTCTTAAGCAGAACCTAAACCACCTCCAACCCACTGCTGTTAACAGCTAATAGGCAATGATAAATTGTGAACAGACACCATGTGTAGAAGGGATGCATTTTCAAAGTTTGAGGCAGCCTGCTTCTGAGTGCCAGCTGCCACCAACTTGTCTGCTGGCAATTAATGAATTCCATGTTCTTTGGTAATTTAACATTCAAGGCATAAATTGGATGGAAAACGTGGCATGTAGCCAGCAACCCCCCTTGCTGCTTTTCCCTACAATGTGAGAGCCCCATGGACAGGTAGCCATGTGTCAGACTTCAAAAATAAACTCACACTTTATGGTGTAAAGGCAAAACTCCCCTTGGTCCAAAGTCTGAATGGGGAATAATTCCACTGAAATTGTGTAGTTACCCTGTATTGCCCATTGATACACTGGGCTCATATTTTTTGTTTAAAAGCCTGTTCATTCATATGTTAACTAGAATCTACTACAGGAATGAAATATAAAGCTTGGGAACAATATTGTCTAGGAAGAAAGTCTCAGGAGTGATTTGCTACTGATGATGTGGTGTGTAATCTGTAGATGACTGAGGCATGGAGGTAGAGAAGAAAGTTAATTACAGGGGCAGGCAGTAGCACTGCTCTGTAGTTAGAATTGTATTTACAATGCAAATTCCTGTTTGTTTTTTTAAGGCTTTCTGTCTCAATGACACTGTTGTGCTCTGTGCAGGCAGACATCATTTACCTTTCATTTCCAGCTTTTTGTCAGTTTGTCACCACTTTATTCTTTAAATACGTTTTTCTCTGCCAGATAAAGTCATATTGAGAGTATGACAGAAGAATTAGAACTTCTAAAAGAACAATATTTGTTACTGTAAAAAATGCAAAAACTGCCAAAAATCTTCTAAAATGAATGTTAGTCTTAACATTAAAAATAAAACTAAAAGACATTATACTTAGCCAGGGGCTGTCAGTTGAAGAGGGGAAATGTTTTATTGGGATTTTTTTAAAATTTGCACTTTTCCAACCATCCTCCCTCACCACCACCAGCAGCCCCTGCCCTCCCCTGCCCTGATAAAAAACCAGCTTTTGTCAGAAAGATTGCCCTGGACTGATAGATTTCATAGCACTTTGCATGTCATTTCCTCAATAATGATTCTGCCCCCTCTGTCTCATCCACTCCAGATGTAGAAAGTGGAGTCCACAAAGTTACAGACGTAAAAATCTCTCCATGATCTTGTGAGCAATCTGCTTTTGCCATGCTGAAAAGCATTTGCACAAAACTGGCGGCAGCCACTAACATCTTGTATCCTGAGAACATGGGCATGACAACAATCCCTGTATTTCCTAAATCATTGCTTATCTACACATCACTTCAGCCCAGAGCACAACAAGGAAAAGTTGTTTTGGTTTCCCAGCATCATGAAGGGAGCCACCGGCTCTTCTTTTGAATAATCAAAGTAAAACACGTTCATTCCTGTATCATGACTCTCAGAATTCATAATTGCATTCAAAATAAAAAAATAATCATGGGACAGCTGCCAGCAAAGATGTTCTGTTTAGCAGTTTATAAAAACAGCATATGCCACTCGTTTATTCATTTTTCTATTTCCATTTATTTATTAATTTTGGCCCAAATTCTGTGCATGCAAGCAAAACCTTAAAGGGAAATTGAGAGTGTTTTCTTTGATGCTGTGTCCAGATGTGAGTAACTGATAGAATGTTAATTGTTTTAAAACACAGATTCATTGACCTTTTCAAAACCTGAATCTGTGAGAGATCAGATCTTACATGGAATTTCTGAGGATACTGTTTGGGGTATTTCCACTGTAAATATGTCTCCCTAAGCTATTTCAGTGGAGAGTCTATAATCTAATGTTATTTATTCCTTCCTGCTCCTTTCCCCCCTCCAGTCATCCAAATCTGTGTCTATTTTCTCTGCTTTGAGTTGTGTCACTGATCAGCTCTGCCTTCAGCAGATACTCTGGCTCAGGAGTGCCTGCAAGTATTTGCCTGGTTGGAGAAAGTAAAAAAGAAAAGAAAATTAGATGCATTTGTGATGAATCATTTGGAGAAATCAGGTTCACTTTCTCCACCAGAGTCTCCTTCCCTCTACATCCTCCACAGACAGATTCCCATTTATTCTTCTAAACAACAGTTTTGAGGTTCTCACCATATGGTTGAGTGTGTCAAAGCCAAGTGCTCCATGCTTGTTGTAAAGACACAGGAGGGCTGCCAAGGACCAGCAGGATGCTCTAGGAATAATTGTGTCAAGGCAAAGGGGGAATGGGATGTGGAGAAGACAAAACAGGGAGCAGAACCGTGTAAGAACACTGGCAGATCACACAGGAATGGGGGACTTCTGCTGGCAGCTTTAGGCAACTGAAATTTGAGAACTCAGAGACTCGAGGCCAGATGTCCTGCTCCCCTGTGAAGGGACTGCAGAGGCAGAACCAACAGGTATCATTCAGAGCATTAGCCAGCAGCTCACACACTGTAATCCAAGCTACCCAGCAGACTTCAAGTCCTAAGAAAACAGCAAAGTCAGTAGAGGTTGTCTCTGCATCCCCATCATCCCACTTTCCCCCCTTCCCTGCTCTTTAAAGGCCAAGATTGACTCCCAGGGTCACAGTGAGGGGAAGAGAAGAAGCCGAAGCAATTTCATTTTTAAATTTGAGTTTATATTCACAGCAAAGTTTCCCCAGTGCTCTCCCAGCTGGAGTGCTGATAATGAGTTGTCATCCATTTAATGGATAGTACCTGTTCCATTAAAGCCAAACAGGTTATTGTAAGCCACTAGCAGGTTCACTTCGGGGCAGAAAAAGCCCCAAAACCTCAAGATGATAGTAAACCATGGATTGTAAATAAATGAATACATTAAAAGCTCTTCCTCCTTCAAGCAAGGAGAGAAGTGAGAAAGAGCAACCTCCTTTTTTGCTTTAAGAGAGACCTTTCCCACTCTGTTCCCAGCTTGATGGCATGTCCTGGACATGAGGCTGCTGATCTTTGCTGCTCCCATGGAGCCTGAAATACCAGTGCCTGCATCTATACGGATTATAAAGTGGGTGGCAACTTGTGTCAGAACTGCTGTGATTTCTTTAAATTAACCAGAGGTAACATGACATGTTCTTGATAAACACAGTAATAGCAGCAGGCAGGCGCATGACTGCAGAAGAGCAGACGTGCCCTGGAATCAGCATTCCGAGAAAAACCCTGAAGACAGGGATTTGCTTTGAAATTTAGTTCAGATCCAGCTGACAAGGAGTCGATTAGCTCCACAATGAGCAAATGCAGCACTGTCTTGTTTGCTGCAAGAGAAAACAAACAAAATGTCAATAAAAAATTACCTCTTTGCCAGAGGGTTTTAACACAATTCAAGTAAAGAAATAAAGCTGTATGTTCTGTGTTGCTTAAAAAACCCACAGGTCTAGCGCCTTAATGTGTACCAAGGTAACCACATTTTTCATTCCTTAGCCCACTCTCTGTCTAAACTAATTTGCTTTTTCTGCAAAATTATGAACAAACCCACACAAAAATGATGAAATCTCAGCCTGTGTGGCTGGCTATAGTCTGTGTGTTTAACCCAAAGAAGTTAGACCAAGAAGAGTCAAATGAGAAATGTGTCTTCATATGGGAGTGAAGAGCAAATAAAAATAGGGGTCAAAAATAACCAAGTTTTTAAAAGTTATGTTTTCGAGTCAGAGGAATATATTTTGCATTGATACACATCCTCCTGAAGTCAAAGGGCTGGGAAAAAAAGTCTGGCTTAATGTCTGCAATTCAGCTAATTTTGAGTTGTTTGTGCTAACCATACAGATTTAAGTGTCTAAACATTTAGATGCAAGCCATACATTCTTCATTATTTTTTCTCAGAGCTCCTGCTCTTCCTCATGACACTTGACTGAAGTGTCAGTGCTTCAAGAGCACACCAAGTAGCTCCAGCCTCCTCTTTTTACAGCATATCAGGGCTTGGGAGCCTCCCTGTCTCTCTTCTCTACTAGCTCAGTAAATTATGGAGTCATGATTCTCTGTCATTTTTGCTTTAATGCAAAGAGGAGCAGCCCATCTGCCACTGCCTGGATGAGCAGCATCCTCCCTGCTTTGCACTATGAACTGTGTAACAAACACTTCAGGCTCCAGGAGAGGGTTCTGGGTCCAGTCCCCAGCATTTCCTGTTGATGTGTACATGTGACTCTGCACTCAGGTTCTGTTACCCAGCTTCTCCTTTCTAGGATGTGCTGCCATGAGAGTGAAGAGCAAATAAAAATAGGGGTCAAAAATAACCAAGTTTGGGGTTATTTGCTTGGGGTGCTGCTGTGCTGTGGGGCAGGCAGTCCCCACGAGTACCAGCTCAGAGCTCTCCCTGTGTCTGGAGTGGAGCAGCACCTTGCACTGTGGGCAGCAGCACCCTTAACACAATCTCTGCTGCTTTGCCCGAGTCCTGCAGGTCCTGCAGGTTACATCCTTTCCAGTCCTGATAGTCCAGCAAGTGCTGAGGCCTGGGACACATATGAGGCTGAGCCAGAGAGAACAGCAAGTTCCATTTCATCCTGTTTCTTGTCTGAATAAAGATCTCTCTTGTTCCACGCACCGAACACATGCGCAACAGGCTTTGATTCAAAAAGCTCCCTGAATTGCCTGTTTCAATCAGATGATCCTGCTAGTAATGCCAACTTTTATTTATTTGAGAATTTTTACTCAGAATGTTTCTATTTAATTAATATGTTGACAAACAGTCTTCCATATTTAATTGCTTCCAAAGGAGGAAATTTAATAGTGTATTTGTTCTGTTTTTTAAACTGCAGTGCTCTGGCAAGAGCACGTTCCTTACACATGTGCACAGATTGAACTCATTTTGACTACAGGTTATTGTGGGTTGTTTGCAAACACCCAACTGTGGGTATCTAGCATTTAAAATAAAAAGAGGGGTTTAAATAAATGCAGGAACAGTTAAATGATGTATAATGGTGATGGGCATCTGCTGAACCACTTTAATTGGGGGTTTGAAGTAAAAGACTTGCACAGCATTTGATGTTAAAGACTTTGCAAATTTAACAGAAAAGCTCCAATTAAACTTCTCTTTTTCCCTCTAAATAAATACATGGATTTATTTCCAGCACCTGAGATACTGTCCTCTGCATGGAAGAAAGGACTCAGTGTCAGGCTGCAGCGCAAGCAGCGAGGACATGTGGAAGGAATTGTAGCTGTGAATATGTAATTCCTGGCCTCTGACGCTCGCGGAGCGCGGTGGCTTTCCTCGCCTGGAGCAGCCTGAATGGGCCCATTTTCTGTTCTAGACAGTGTGTCTGTTGGCAGAGCTAAACATATCCTCTGTGCTGCCAGAGTGAGGATGCTGGGGAAGGCAGCTGAGAGCGGAAAGAAATGGTTGGAAATTTGCTCCCGAGAGGCACTCGGTGAACATTTCTGGAGGGTCCCGTCCTGATTTTGTAAGCAGCAGCCTGGTGCACTCAGACTCTCAGAAGTCATCTGGCCTTTGACAGGGGCAGCCTGACCCACAGTGTCCAGTTTAGGTTTGTGAAAGGATTGTCACAGCCTGATACTGGTTTTTACTGCAATATTGCAAATTTGAGGGATTGTACTGTATTTTGCTGAGATATAAAGGTAAGGAAAGCAACCACAATGCAAAGTGCCATTAGGGAATGGTTGTGATTTACTGTTCAGCACAAGAGCTTGAAAATATAGCTGTCATGAGAGAAAACTTCCCAGTGAGACTGGGACACTTCCAGGAATCACGTTGGGGCTACAGGTGTTTCATTATGGGTCTGGTCTGTCCAAGACCGTGGTGTTGTCCTTTTAGTGCCACAAATGGCACCATCAGGGTTCTATAGGCAGATAGAGCTAACAAATGTTGTGGCTTTTCCACATCAGGGCAAGGTTCATCTGTTTAGGGAAAAAAAGCCCACAACAAAACAGGCTGAGATCTTGGCTCTTTCTCCCAGACAAATCAATGATAGCACTTGGATGTCTGACAGGGGTTGGCAGACTTCTCCCACCAGGTGTCCTTGAACTGTTTCCTCATTTCATCCAGCCAGTCCTGGATGTCCTGCAGCTCTGGGGGTGCTGGTTGTACGTGTTGATAATAAGGGTGACTCTATTTTCAGAGTCAGAGCTTTGCCTGCTAAGGCAGCAGATGAGAATCACAGTGAGCAGAATCCGTAGCGCTGAGCACGAGGAGAGCCAAAGCTGAGCACAGCCCCTGGGATGCAATGTGTGGGACACGGGCTACAGCTCACCCCTAAACCTTGGTCTTTTTGTTTACTGTACCCTTAGATCCTTAGTGGTGGCTTTTCTAACACACTAACTTTGGGATTTGCTTCTGCCTTTTCCAGAGGAAGCCATCAAGTTTCACAGCGGGCCTCCGAAGAACGCGTACATGGAGCAGAGCTTCCAGGGCCTGAACCCCGTGCTCAACATCCCCATCAGCGCCGCCCGCGCCGACCAGGCCAAGCGCAACGCGGGGCTCGTGGGCGCCCGCCTGGACGCCTGGGTGGACTCTCTGGTCAGCAGCCTCTGGTCGGCCGTGGACATCTGCAGCGTGGGAGCCACGGCCTGCCCCGTCCTGCAGGGCTGTGCCCAGACCGCCTGGAGCTCCCTGAGCCCCGACCCCAAGTCCGAGCTGGGCCCCGTCAAACCCGACGGCCGCCTGAGGTAGCACCCGCTGCGCTCTGCCCCGGCATAGGTTTTTAAAAGGGAATTGAACCTTGCTTCTCTGTGAATCTCACACCAGGTTTCAGAAATCTAAGGGAAAGTTACGTTTTTTTTGTTACTTATTGCAATAGAATTAATTTTAAAAAAACAAAACAAAAAGTTCTGAAGTTCTGACAAGGCCTTTGGCACTGCCCTCTCCATCTGCTGTGCTGGGAGCTGCTTGCCCCATCCCGCAGCCCGCGCTGTCCCACGGGACCCGTCCATCCCAGGTGCCACTGCACCCACCATCCTGTGGGCTTGCCAACAGCACCACCAAGCCATGGAGAGGGCACTGAAGGGGCAGCTGCTAAAGGGTTTTTCTTAAAATAAATTTGTCCGTACCTGTGCTGTTTCATAGGCTTTTGTTATTTTGCTACAATGAGTAAATCACAGCAAAATTCCCTTCTACTTGCACTTCCTGAGGAGGTTGGTTCCTGCAGGCTGGAGCCTGTATGACCACATGACCTCAGAGAATGTGAAGTAATGATGGTACAGCCTCACTCTGGTTTCTAATAACACAGTTATTCTGGACACAGCTGATGTCTGTTATCCTAGTTAGAGAAAACGAGCAAAAGCAGAAATTTTCAGATTACTTTCAGAGGTTTTTTTTTGACTAATTTCGTGATAAGCTCTAAATGAAACCAGTGTTTTGCTATAGTAGTCTTTTATGTCTCATGCAGTCGGGTTCAGGGTCAGTGTACTAAGAGTATTTATTAAAGAACAAAGAAGTTTCTTGAATTTCAGCCCCTTCAAATCTGCAGGTATTTTTGGAAGCCACCAGTACCTGAGTATTTTCCCAGGCTGCTGGTAGAGCAGGTGTGTATATGTGGGCTGGGGTGGGTTGTGATGTGTCTGCTCACACTCTTTGCTCATGAGCTGAGCTGAGTTTTTCTCAGGCAGCGGAGTTGTAAACCAGTCAAATAGTAAAATTGGGACATAAATCTGCAACAACAGGTTTCTTCCCTAATTTGAGTAGTGGCTTAACACTAATTCCCTCTCTTGGTCTCAGATCTCCATATCTACCTAAAGAAGGATCCTTCCAGGCTTTGCCAGGGCATCTGGAAGGCTGTGCAGGATGTGGGTTGCTGCCCAAAGCCAGGGGAAGGAGAACAATGGCATGTTTCTCTGTGCTTTTACTTTGTTCTGTCAACAATCTACCCTTGCCTGTCTTCAGAATTCCTAGCAGGCTGCATCCTGATTTAAATAGACATATTTTGCATCATTTCAACCTGCATTTTCTACAGTACGGAAAAATTAATTTACATTCCAAGCACTTTTTAAAATATAGGTTTTATATACAAATTCATCTCCAACTAATGTATTTTACATTAGTGAAAACATAGACTTTGTTGTTGTTGTTGCTGTGTTAATCCCTAGTCAGCAACAGAACCAAAAAAAGACCATTAAAAGCCATTGGGTTAATTAGGAAAGAAGTCCTGTTGCTGTAATAAAGGAAGGTATCTGTTCACCCTTCTGTGTGCATGCATAACTTTCTGCTGAGAGTTAAGTGTCCACATCAGGAGGGAAACAGACCCCTAGATCAATCTGTAATCTCACAGGAAGGTTGAATTCTCTTTTAAACAACACTTGCAGTAGGACTGTAACACACAGATCCCCGTGGCTTGTAGTATCTCTGTCCTATTGGTTTAAAGCTACTTCAGTTTGCTTTGGACTTGAAATTGTGGTGTCAGCTGTGCTGGCATTAAGGCAGAGCATTGAAATCTTTATCTGGCACAAAAATGGATGCATAGAAGGAACAATTTAGGTATTTATTATTTATGTTTTAGTCAATGACTAATTAGTAGGTGCTGCTTTTGCAGCTTGAAGATTATGTTATTTTACTAACTGAAGCTGCCTTTATTAAGAAAAGGCCTTCCTCCCCTCACACCTCCCTTTCTTTTTTTTGATTTTCTTGATTTTGTCAGTCGTGAGCAGTAGCTTTAGGGAAGTTTGTAGCAATGAGAGCTGGTTGGAATATTCCAGACAAGATGATGTTCCAGCTTTTCAACCGGCTCTGGAAGCAAGCATGTGTGAAACCAGGGTTGCCAACAGGTTTACGTAACAGAATCACAGTGTTATTACTTGTTCAGTAGGAGGTTTTAACAGTGCTTGTTTTTAATGTAACATTCCTTTGTGAAGTTCATCTTTTCTGGGGACTTCCAATCCTCACTGTGAAATCCAGGGCTTTAGTGGCACTGATGCAATGGCGACTGCACGGTCCAAGCCCTGCAGATTAAATGAAGAACGTCTTATTTAGGGCACACAATAAAATTCATTAACAAGCCCAGTTAACAAGTGCTTGTTCTCAGTAAGACTCCTGAGGTAGTCACAGAATCTTCAGTCTGTCTTGCACATAAGCACACGTGTAGGGATGCACCCACGCACACGCATGCAGATAACTTAGTTTTTAAATTTGATACTTGTTTTTATTCTTAAGCAGGAATGTTTTTAGGTGCTTTTTTGGTAAGTTTTCATTAACTAGACCAAGCAGAAGGTGACAACAATCGCGTCTTCTGCGGTTAGGAAAAAAGCTGCCACTTTCATCATTTAAATGTAAGGTGCAAATTATTTTGTTTTAGTACAAAAAAGGGAAAGAAAACAGATGGTTGCTGATATATCAATTTGCATTATATGCTAGGTTTAAAATATCTCAAAGTAAATTTATATGGGATTATTTTCTGAAAAGCAAGAAGCATTTAAACAGTGAAGTTTTGTAGCAAGCTGGAAATCCCAGTGCTGCTGTTAAAATATAGGATGCAGAGCTGAAGGGGTTGATCCTGCAGTCCTTCCTTAGGCAAAACTTCCAGAGTGCTAGTGCTGAGTGAGGACTCCAGAGTCAAGTCCTGCATACATAAAAGGTGTGACAGTTTGCTAGGGGTAAATGCTGTCTGTTTGAAGTCATCAAAGGATAAGCTGCCTTGTTTGGAACATCTTCTGGGGTAATGTTGTTTTGGACCTAAAAAGCCACTTCTGTGATCGCTGTTATCATGCAGAAATGGATCCAAAATATATATATGGGACTCTGTGTCTGAGTTACAAAGTCCAGTAGTTGTGACTAAAAGACATGTAAAGCCAGATTCTGCATCAGGCGTCAGAGCTGGCTCCGGGGTGATGCTGCTAAGATCAGCTCAGTCCTGCACTGTGGCTTCTCTGCTTTGAAATGGCAGCACTGGGAGCCTGTGATGAACATTTTCCATGGTCAGAAGAGAATAACTTCACAGATCTTACATTTGGTGAAAAGGAGAGTTCAGAGCAGGGACCCACATTTGGTACAAAATATGAGAGTTGTGCATCTTCATCTGAATGTGCAGGTGTTCTTTTCCAGTCACACTGGCCAGTCCTTGCTGAACTGGATCCCAGCTGAAAGCCTGGCTTGATCAAAATTCCTTTCAATGGGAGCTGTTTATATTTCCATATGCACACATTTATTCTCTGTGTGTAATGCTTTGCTTGTTTAAATTCCCTGTCCATTCTGCATGACAGCCATGTAACACTCCTGTGATCAATCAGTATTACATAGAAAGGGAATGTGGCAAAATGCAGAACATCTACATACATGATTTAATGAATTATGTCCAAAGTCAGTCACAGCATTATGCAAACCTGTTTATATGATAATGTTAAACCCCAAGGCTAAATGAAATAGCTCAAATGACAGTTTATTTTCAGATTTGTCCAATTCTTTCTTTGATGACATTTGGACACTGAGTAGTAATATTTGCATTTTCATTTTCTGATATTCAAGGGTGTTTTTTTTTAGAATTGAAATTATGTCTTCATTTTTTGGGCTCTCAGCAAGCAGAGAATTTTAACAATTCCTTCTGATAGCAAGTGTTATACAAAAAAGTCCCTCTGTATCTCTGTTGTTAAGCCTTCATTACTGCTAAGCCTAGAGATACAGAAATGTGCATTCTTGTGTTACAAATTGACTTTCCTGGGTACTGGCTTCAGTGCACAATGCCTGTACAGTTGTTTAATGGTGTATTAACAGTGATCCTGCAGCACCTTCAAAAGTACCAACTAATGTGCATTCACTTTCCCTCCATCTCCTGCAGCACTAATTGCCATCCTAATGAAGCCTCCATCGCTCTTAGCCATGGTTATAGTGAGCACAGTAGTGAAGTCAGTGAATCAGAACAGGGACAGTGTAAACCTGACCAAAGGGAGACAGAAAGGGTAAAGAAGATGCTGAAACTTTGCAAAAGTTTGACACAATTGTGTTGCAACAAACCTTTGAACAAATTGGGCTCCTTCTGCACAGCAGGGCTGAAAACCATTGTTGCCCTGAGATCTCAGCTTTGACTTCCCAGATAAACAAGATCCAGATGTTTCTTGTGGCCCAGCAATAAGGACCAGCTTTCTGCTGGCTAGCACGCCCTCCTCATCTTTCCAGCTCCCAAAGCTTCAGGAGTTGGCCACATGAAACCTCAGCCAATTCCAGCACTTTCCGTAGAGCAGGAAGTTTTATACTTGAGTGAGCTAAATCCCCTAGGCTTCTTCAGAAACCCACCTGCAAATGAGGAAAGTTTGCTTTTCAGAGCAGCCTTCAGTCAGTTCAGTGCTTGCACACAGGAAGGAGCTGGTGAAAGCAGGTACCTTGTCCTGATTTTCAGGCATGGGAATCTGATATATGTAAGAGGAGACTTGGTTATTTGATATTTCAGTAACAGACTAAGACAGACCTGGTGGGACATGGTTGGTGACCTTTCCCACTGGCCTTTGCTTCAGTCCAGTTGTGAAAATAGAATGACCCATATGTGTCTTTATTTCTACCGTTCAAGACCTCCAGTGTAGTCTTAAGGATTAGTAGGACTGAAGCCCATATTAAATGACAATTGACAATATCATGTAAAAAGCCTTTCCAAACCAAACCCTCAGGCTTCTGCCAAGGCAGCTGCAGGGATGATGCTGACAGAGAGGATAGGGAGTGATGCAGTGTTAGAGAGGACAGAGCACTGCCCTTCCAGAGGCCCAGGAGGAATTCCTGAGAACAGGAATACCTGCTGCTGAGCCCTGAGGGCAGCTGCTGCTGCTGCTGCAGCCAGGCACAGAGGAGCCAAAGAAATGTGAATTGGGGTTAAGGACAGCAAGGAAGAATTTTTAGGATAGCACATTTTCTTGCAGAATCTTCAAAGGCAAGCAAACACTCTGATTTATAATTCCCTTCAAAGGTGTATTGTAGAAGAGGTTGACCTTCAAAATCTTCACCATCATCACAGTAAGGGAAAGAATAATCGGGCTGAGAGCATTTAAAATTGATGCTACAAGGCCTTATAGCCTGTGCTAGCCACCACAGCAGCACTAGGGTGTCTCAGTTAGGTGTGGCACTGGGAGCAGTTACCCTTGTGATGTGACACTGCAGGTACCATGTTGATTCCGTTCCTTCTTACTAACAGTAGTGTGTTGATCACTCTGCTCTTTGCTTCTGCCTTGGTTACCTTCTTTTGCTCATGGGTGCTACCACAGCTGCTACCTCACTGTGTCTGCAAACACGTTTACCTGAGAACAACAAAAAAAGGTACCAGAAATCTCCTTGAACTGAATGTACAATCTATGCAAATTCTCTTTCTACTTTGTTAAAACCTAGAAGTATTACTTGTAACCTTGCCAAATAAACAGCAAGATACTGTACAGGTGCCTCTGATACCAGAGTGACAATTCTAGGCGCGGTTCATGGCGCTGCATTTGTATATTGTAATGACTCGGCTTGTCTTTGGTTCTGTTGTAATTAACACCCTTGACTGAGACAATAGCACTCCTGCTAGGGGAGCACCTTCAGTTTGCTGGGAATATTCCAGAGAAGGATGTCTATGGCATTTCATTTTCCTGCTTAGATCCAAAAAAAGGCACAGACCTGCTGGCCAAAACTAGGGTGTTGTTTCAGCTTTTCTGTGGATGAATCCTGTCAGCTTTGGATCGCTTGGTGTCTGTTCCCATTGTGGCATCCAGTGTGTTGCCCCTTAAAGAAAGCCTTACTTCCATCCTTTCTAAATGTGGCCTTAAACTCTGTTAGGAACTTTGGTGTTGTCTGTGTCTTGCTCACTTTCTCTGTTTGTTGTGGAATGAATAAAAGGCACCTTGAGATTCCTGTTACAGCTCAGTTGTGTTGCTGTCAGCTTACACTTTACAAATACAATAGAAATTGCTTACAAATGCAGTCTTTAAGGAAAGAAAATGACCTTCCCTTCGGGCAAAAGGAAGTCTCAGACATTCATAGAAACCTTAGGAAATTATGAGCTCTGTCTCTTGCAAGTCACTGTAGATAAGGAACTCGGTTTAATTACATACAAAGTACAAACTTAGTAACTTTTAATTTATCTTCCGACTGCAACAGGACAGACTGCTCTCAGATGCACAAGACAAATTGTAGAGTCATTTCACTCATTTTAACATGGTGTAGTAGCATTCCTCTCAGATTTGTACTGGTAGCTGGAAGAAGAAATATCCTCTTCATGGTATGGTCTTAAAATCTGAAGAACATCACCACATAGGGCCAGATTTTGGGTGTTGGTTGGGAATCTAACAGTACATTTAGAACATGGTTGTTTTGTCTAAGTCATAAATGCATTTTTGAAAATCTGGCTTTTGGAATTTCATTCAAAGGTTGTCAAAGTCAGCAGAAACCAATGACTTCTGCTAAGGCTTGTGTATGTTTGGTTTCTTTGATACTTTCCTCCATGAGAGCTGTCATGTTTCAGTGGGTAGCACCAATATTCCCGGCAGGCTGCAGTGCTTTTAGGAATCCCAAATCCTGTCCTGTGTTGGTATTCAGATGTGGATACAACCCAAAGGCAACTGAAAAGGGTTTACATATAAAACAAGATTTGTGAAACTAAAATAATAATTCAATGTAATGAAATTATTTTTCTGACTTTGTCCTTTTGGTTCTGTTTTGGTTTGATTGGATTTTTCTATTGCCTAACATAGTCCATAATAAGTTATTCCTATTCTGTCATTTTCAAAGACTGGTGGTAATATAGTTTTAAGAAATAACTATTTTGTTATAGATCATAATATGCATAAAATTGTACAGAAATATTTTGTAATCTATTGAATAAGAAAAAAGAAAACCATGTATATACAGGAAAGTTTAAAAAAAAAAATAATTGGAAATTCAAATGGAACACACTGAAAGATGTAGATATTTTGCTATTTATTTAAAGGAGTATTTTATGAGATATTGAAATGTCTTAAATTGACCGGTAATCAAAGTTCAAAGTCAGAATGCTTTTCTTGTAGTAGAATGTGATTTTCAGCAATTATTGCACTACCCGTTTTTGCACCCTTTTGTCTTTCATTTAGCAGAAACAATGTGCCTTAGCTGTATTCTTTGTCAATGGGAGTTTGGTTGTTTGTCCGACAAAGCAAATTTTTTTGCAGAAAAAGAAATGGATGTATGAAATACTGTATTATACCAAAAACACTGCAGTGTATATAATGCTTTCTGTCATACGGTGTTTTCAGATGCAGAGTTTTAAAATAAAAAAAAAAAAAAAAAGGCTGTCTTTAGGAGCCTGTGCATTTTGTGTTATTTTCAACCCCACCACTGCGTGTCTTAATTGCAAGAGCTTTGCTGCTTGGTGATTTTTAGGAGGAAAAATGGGCCTGAGCACTCCCAAGCTGTGATCCCAGTGCTGCTGCCTGGTCAGTCATTTCTCAGCCGTAGCAGTTGTGGAGGAAGCATTCACGAGTGCTTTTTGGGGGTCTGTCATCGGTCAGAGCTGGCTCACAGGCAGTGCTGCAGCCTCACCTGGCTGCTGCCCCCAGTGCAGGGGTGGAAGGTGGGTGACCTTGCAGAGCTCCCAGCACTGCTGGCACGGTGGGACCCAAAGAAATGTCCAAATTCTTGTTTTCAAACCCAGATGTCTGCCAGAGCCTCCTTGCCTTTCTTGTGATGACAAGAAATGGTAACAAAGGTCAGAGGGGATCAACAAGGAGCTCAACTGAAGTCTGTTTTCTGAAGGCCATGAACCACGAGAAGTGCTGGAGCAGTTTCCTCCCTGCCTCCCCAAAGGATGCATCAGCCAAAGGACTCTGTCATGGGCTTACAGATGTCCTGCTGGGTGCAGAAATACCAATTAATGCAAGGGCTGGCTGGTTCCAAGAGCAGCAAAATATGTGTCCTTTGCCTTAAGTGCAAGGATGAGCTCAGAAAGACACATTTCTTCCCCAGTTCCCTGCTGGGTTATGGACCCAAACCAGCCATTGCCTAATGTGCACCCAGTGTGAGCACTTACATTTATTTCCATACCCTGGTCTCCACACAGAGCACTGATTTCTTGGAGCTGCTTCCATAGATGTGATGGGGGAAAAGTTAAATTCTCCTAAAAGTGGATGATTTGTATCTCTAGCACCATCCTCATGATGTATTGCAGGTTTGTCTCCCTGCACAGCTTTTTGATGTGGGATGCTTGAAAAAAACCTGCTTGACGACCTTCCAGAAGTCTTTGACAACACCAGGAGCTGCATGACTTTTGATGCACCCCCAAGCCGTGCTGCAGGTTCTCTTGGCAGCCAGAGCTGCATTTGATCTTGTGTTTTCTTTTCACCTGCTGTTCAGGAATTCCACTTTTTTGGCACTTAGATGCAATGAGGTCTGTTTAAACAGAGGAGGGAACACAGCACTAATATTTAAGTCTTGGCACAAAGGAAAGATTTTCTGTGGAAGGGAAAAAGGGAAAAAAAAATCCTGCTTCCAAATTTGAAGCATGGTTTCATTTATAGCTGGTATAAAAAGTATTCTGCTTTTGTGCTGGTTTATTCCTAGTCTAGCTGCTAATAGTCATGGCATATTAAAACAAAAACCCCTCAACCTTTGTTTTAATTATCTCCAAATGTGTCATTGGCCACTACTTTAAAGAAAAGGGGTGTGGGCAAGATCAGGCTGCCAGGTGCTCAAGTGTTTTATTTGCTTTGTAGACTTCAGTGAGAGTCTGCTCTGTAAGCACAGGAATCCAGGTTCACCGTGGAGAGGGTGGTCTGAGACAGTGTCACACTGGCAGGAAAGGCTGTGCCTCTGTCTGCTGGAAACACCATCACACATCCCTGCATCTGCCATGCCTCAGGTGTCTTACTGCAATTATTATTTATAGTCTAGAACATGGTTAATTCACACTATGACACAAGACCTAGGGCAGAGCAGTTTGCCAATAGCTGCACAGTAAACCAAGTGCAACAGGAACGAGATATTTAATTGCCCATTGACAATGGGGATTTCGAAATTTGGCAGTTCCTCATCTGTTACTAAAGAATCTGTAACCTATTTTCTAAAAATCAGAAGCTGTTTGTAATCTGAGGTTTCACAAATGCAAATAGCTGTAAATCTTCACTGTCTATGAATGATTAAAAAACAGGAGACACGTGAGGTTGTACTGAAGTTAAATCCAGACACGGATGGCAATTTTTCATTCTTCCAGGAAAGAGGATTGTGGCTATTCTGGTGCCAAATCAACCTTTTGGCGTGGTTTGCTCCATGCCCTGACTGCAGGGCTCTGAGCTAGGGCACAGCCGAGGCACCAGCTGGGAATCCCAGACAGGGAAGGGCTGGACCTGGAGCTGAGGGACTGGGGGGGGACAAGGCTCAGACATTTCATGTCCTGGAGTAAATTGCCAGGCATGAGCTTGTTCTGGCCAACTCTCAAGCAAAGCAGAGTCATGCCAGGATCCTAAATTCACGGGCAAGGAGTTTCAGGTTAATTTATTCATAGTACTAACATGATCTAAAAGTATCCTGCATTTTGCAGATTGAAGCCTCGAGCTGTTCCCTCTTCTGGATGAGACCAGATTGGACTTTTCAGCTAAAGCACGATGCCTTGGACACATGCACTGTACACCACGGCTGCCCCACCCTGGGGGAGCATTTGGATCCACGGCATTGCTGAATCTGGAAGCAAAGCTTTCTGCTCCAGCAGCGTGACAGCAGAGGCTGTGGCCCCTGCTGGGTCTCTGTCAGGCTGCTTGAACAGAAGAGAAAAGACCTCTGAAAAGCAGCAGGATTATGACACGGTTTGGGTGCCCAGATTTGAAGGTTTAAAACAGACATTTGTGCCTAATCAGCCAAAGTGAGTTATAAGATGTAAAGCACTTTTCCCTTCTCTCCCCAAAACATCCATCATGATGCTCTGTGCTGGTTCCAGGCTGCCAGTGGTCTCTTCTCTGAATTAATGCCTCCACCAGAGCAGGCAGTGCAGCTCTGCAGAGCCCTCAGCCACTGGCCCAGCTGGGCTGACACAATCCCTGCACGTGTCCACAGGTAGCAGCGGGGCAGAGGAGCCTCCCAGCCTCCCTGGCCACATGGAAACGTCCTAAAACACTTGTCTGCCCAAGGTGCAGAGTGTCAGGAGTGACAGCTCACATTAATTATGGACCATCCTTAAAATAGATTTGATTTCAGTAAGACAGAGGCCAAATGTAATACTTTGATATGAATATAATACTTTGATATTAATATACTCAATATGAAAAGACATATGTAATATCTGTATGTAAATACACATAGCAGTACCCCACACCACATGAGCTTCAGACTCTGTTTATATTTCCACTGCCCATAAATTATCCCAAATCTGGTAGCATGGCTGCAATGGAGCAACCTCTTCCCAGGGTGTTTAGTAGTGCACAATGTACAGCCTTCAAGGAAGAGCAGAATTTCACTTGTATAAATGAGTTAAAATAATGTGCTCTTCTTAGTCTGTTTCTGTAATTGTTTTGTTTTTTTTCCTAACTAGGACTTGCATAATAATAAAAAAATTTGACTAGAAACATAAAGTACATTTTAATGTGATCTCATTTATGAAAGTCTATCACTGGATACACATGGCAAGGAAATGAAAGTATTCTTATAACAGATTAATAGCCAAGATCAAATATTTCACTTTCTAATAGAGTCTGCCTATATGTGCTTTAAATTCTTTGCTAAATTTAAATTTAAAAGGGCTTTTCTGATGCCTTGAAAGCAAGCCACTGCCTGCCACATCATCCCCGATTTTCCATTACTGCTCACTGATGGTTTGCATTCATTAGCAGAGCACGGCTCCAGCACTGGTCTTCAGAGGAAGAAATTACTTTTTGCCTCAAGTAAAAAAGAAAAAGTGCTGTGAGCTACTTCCCAGCAGCCTGGCCACAGCAGGAGCAGCCAAGCCATGGGGGAGGAAGGTGTCCCTGGGGAGGGCCAGTCCAGGGACCACTGTGGCCCATCACAGAGGGAGGATGCAGCTGGGCCTTGCTCACCAGAGTCCTTACACCCCCAAACAATAGATGCAGTGTCCAGATGCATTTAAAAGCATACATTTCTTTCCAGAATTCCTAGTTTAGGAGCCTTTTTGTCAGATTTAGTCCTTCTCTCCATAAATCCAGTAAGTCCTTAACCCGAGGTCCACTGGATCAACACCTCACATTCCCCAGTCTCTCTTCGGGCACTCGGCTACTTGCTGACTCCAAGCTACAGCACAGCTCCTCTCTTTCACATGGATAGGTAAGTGCTGATGTAATTTGTCCATTCCTTTCATTAATTAACACCAGTTACATTGGTATCACTATAATAATGCATTAAGAGTTAGCACAAGCTGCGTAGTTCTTATTTAGAGTGCATCAGCATGAGTGTGACTGTAATGCTCTGAATCCACTCAGTGAAATGACATGGCTTGTACCAGCTCACTCTTAATCCAGCCTCAAAAAGCAAAAATTCTCTCTTTTTTGTTTTTTCCCCCACACTTGACTGGTCTTGAAGATTTCATAAAGCAAACCAAGAAATATCAACAGGACACTAACACAGCAGTGACACTCTGGGTTTATTTTTAGCCCAACCCTCTGCCTGGTGTATCTCAGCTCATG